AACAAGACACAAGGACGCATTTTCTCTCAGCCACAATCTCATTGCGCAATTTTTCATCACGCAGAGTGAGTTGTCAGATCATCAGAGCGAAAGACTGATCAGCGCAATGTCTTAGAGAAACATCTCGCTCGAAAATTACACCTACGAGATGATGAAGACACAAAATCAGGATCTCTTCATTACGACCAGAACATCCATCCAAGATCCATCCATCCGACCTCCTGCAGGAAATCGGAGTAACATATCTCTCTCCACATTGCCCCTCCATGTCATCAGAGGCACTGGGGTGGGCGCGCGCAGGGCGCTTTGTCCTCCACATCACATTGGCGGGCCTCTGCAAGGTTAACGTTTCTCTCCTGCAACAGCTGCGCAGCCTCTGCAGTCACTTGGCACGCACTGCTAGCGCAAGCTTGGAAATGGCGCAGCGAACTGCAGAAGGACAACGGTAGAAAACAGCAATGGCAGCTCGGCAAGCCGCCCAACTGTACAGTTGCTTGTGCCGCGTGTTGGGGCCCAAGTGGTCCACTGCGTAAGGTCTCAAGTGAAGCCAGGCAGGCAAGACAATATCCGATCGGACCCGCTCCATCACCGCTTTCCTTCCAGACTTGTCAAAGACTGCAAGCCCGGCACGCGCGCTGCCGGCTCAGCCGCCTTTGGCATTGGCAGGCGGGCAGCCATCTTCTCGCCAGGAGCAGCTCTAGCTCGAAATCCGGCCATTCAGGGCACATGGAGCCACATGGAGTCAAGCTCAGTTTTTAGTGTTCAGACTTTCCTAAATGTGAGTTTTTGGGGAACCCTGCTTTTGCTGGTTGGGACACGCAACTAGTCTGATGTTGTTCTGATGTCGTTCTGGCTGGGCGTGAACCTGGGGGAAAACTGCAGGATGTGCAGACAATGGCATCTTGCAAGGCTTTCTTCAATCTCAAGTACGGCCAAACATGCATAGGCAAGGTGCTGCAGGCAACATTGCGCCCGTCTCACTGCAGTGACTGGGCGCTCAAACTGCCAAACATGCGTGAACAAACGTGGCCTTAAAGCCTCGCATGCAATGACGTCTGACTCTCCGTGCATCACCACGAAAGATCGCAAGATGACCCAGACAAAATCAGCAAGGCGTGCCCCATCAACAAACATGCATCAGGCCTTCTCCTCATTGCGCAAGGAGCGCACCGGCACTCATCCCGCTCAAGGGACGCTGAAACACTGGCAGACACGCTTGCAATCACACTGCCCAGCTCACATTTCTTGATGGCCAGAACAGATCGAGAGCATGCCAAAATCTTGCACGCCCTCACACAGAAGCAACATCCGCCTTTGGCTCTTTCCCTTGGCCCTTTTCCTTGCCCTGGGCCTGCCTCAATTCCCAAGCGCAAGTGTGGCGCAATCGGCTACAAAGCAAACAGTTTGGCGCCGAGTCGGGCACCGCGCCCTTCGGGGTGAGGCGCCTCGGCTGTCTTGCGGGACATGCTTTTCAGCACGGTAAACTTCTGCGCATTTTCAGCGCGCAGAGCCTCCGCGCGCTGGCGCAGCGAGTCAAGAACGTCGGGGTTGGCAGGCTCGACTTCGTCTGAGAAGGCTTGGCCAAAGCAGCTTCGGGCGCACACAGGCGGGCTGGCTCAGTCTTAGCAGAATCCAAGTCCTGCCTACAAGCCCAGATCACCTGACCCGGCTTCCGCGTCAGCACAATCGGTGTGGAAAGGCGGTGGGCGTGCGTACGCATTTTGATGCGTGACAAGGCTCACGAGGCAACAGCGCAAGCCCTTCTTTGCCTCCAGCTCTGACCCTGTCAGGCCACCCAAGAGGCGTGGGAACACGTGTCCCGCCCAAGAGGCACGGGGACGCGTGTCCCACACAAGGCACATGGGGACACGTGCCCTACCCAAGAGGCGTTGGGACACGTGTCCTTTGCAAGGCACACGTACGTGGGGACACACAAGAGGCGCGGGCACACGTGTCCCACCCAAGAGGCATGGGAACACGTGTCCCACCCAAGAGGTGTGGGGACATCGTGTCCCACACACATGTCCCACCCAAGAGGCACAGGGACGCGTGTCCCACCCAAGGCACATGGCGACACGTGTCCCACCCAAGAGGCGGACACGTCACCCAAGGCACGTCAGGACACGTACACATGTAGAACACGTGTCCCACCCAAGAGGCGTGGGCGCATTTAAGGCACGTGGACACACGCACCCAAGGCACATGGAGACACGTGTCCCATCACCCAAGAGGCGTGGCAGCACGTGTCCCAGCAAGAGGCACGGGGACGTGTCCCACGGCACATGTGGATACATGTCCCACCCAAGAGCCGTGGGAACACATGTCCCACCCAAGAATTGCGTTACATAACAGCCCTGATCCACATATAGCCCGTGCCTTCCTTTTCCAGCTTTGCCATCTGCTTCGCCACTTAGGATTGGCGCAATCTCACGTGCGTCTTCTGCCGGCTTGGCCAACTTGCTCGCATGATGGAAACGCAGCTTGTCCACTGCCCACCGTAACTCATTCTTTCGTCAGAGGTAGCACTTGACAAAGTAAAATAGCAAATACCATACAACCAGTCCTGTGCGACTGCCGGCGCCTGAGCAGCCTCAGCAAAAACACGCTACAGTGTGTTTCTGCAGGCATCTGAGTTTAGTTTGCCAAGCAGCACACATCGAGATCCAGACAGCATGTCTGTCACTAAACCTGGCCTCCTGCATCTTCGCGGAGCATGCTCCGAGCGCCGCAAGGAACTGCAATCGACCAAACAAAGCGCACGTCACTTCTCGAGGCTTGGGCTGCAGTTCTGCAGATACAAGAAAGAAGCAACCGCACCTGGGATGTCGTTTCAGATGTCGTTCGTCAAAAACCTGGGTCGCTGCAACACTAGTCCTCTACTAGGGTGGTTTTAAACAGAACTCTCATGACAAAGAAGAACCTCAGGACTATGTCGGCCAGAGATTACCACCACGCACTGCCATCCAGACATATGGGCACAACAACGAAGTTGTGGTGATCCAGATCGACCAACGTAACGAATTCCGAGGAGCATTGCCGAAGTCAACCAAGGCTCCGAATGCGGACTACGATAGTCGACACATTCTTCGAGCCGGACTTCCATATGCTACAGTTGGAGTTTTCCATATCCATCCAAATACCACTCATAGCGCAGCAAGAGACGATTTTCAGAATGGAATCATGCCACTTGTTACGACTTACCAATGCGATGCAATCACTGGCGATGCCTCAACCGCACCATGCAGACATATCAAGACACATGGAACACGACAAGGGGGATACCTATTGAGGAAAGAATGGATTATGCCATGGCTACCTCCTGCACAAGGCAATTGTTCGTCACCATCTCTATATGAAGACTGGTTCTGGATGTGATCCAACATTTCCGGATTGCGTGATGACATTTCTATTTGGATGGGGAAAGACCGACATCCAAAATCGTTTCCGAAGATCCGAGATGACCGATGAGGAAAAGAAGACTATGCAGGACAAGACCTCGCTAATCATTTCCGATTACCAGGTAACATCCGCCGAGCCTTTCAAGCACATCACCAACGAGATGTTCCTGAATGGCCCATGTGACGCCGATTCACACAGCCCGCTCATGGTCTACATCCGAAGCCGATCTGAAAGCAAGGAACGAGACACTCAGAGAGCCAAGGAGTACAATCAGAAAAAAAAGGAGAACACTTGGGGAAGTTCCTGGCGATATAACAAGGCTTACGGCTACGATCAACCTGGATGGAAAGGCTATGGTTCTTCGACTTGGTATGACTACGACGACTACAGAAAATCTGAAACCAGCAACCATCCGTGGAAGCGATGAGATGCTTTCAGAAGCTCGAAAGAGAGAACAACCGAGAACAGCACCACGAATGCCGACCAATTGATCCTCACCATCAACAAGACTATTCTGCTAGAGATCAATAGTTTCACACCGATCCTGCATGTACATAGCATTGTGCATCATCTTTTGCTACAATTAGGTATCCGCAATGAGTACAGAGTTTTCTTTTCCATTTGCCAACAAGGACATTTCATCCGCGCCAAACAGGGATAAATGAATACAGTATTATAATTCTGACAAGATATGTCACTGACACATCTATGGCTACGGCACGCACTTGAATGGCTACGGTCAAAGGCCAAGAAGCCAATAGCAGATCAAAAGAAATGTGTGTCTGTTTTGTGTTTGTTTTTCGGACCCATTGATCTCCATGCAACACCATTTTGGCTCAAGGCCTTTCATGTCACACATCAGCCCCTCCCACCCCCACACCCCACCCACCCCCCCCCCCGGCTCCCGTCCGAGGCACAGCACCAGGGCGCGCTGCCAGGCCTCCCCCCGCGTCATGGCGCGGAGGTTTTGGTTGGCCTCCCGGAGATCCGCGCGCCGGGCATCCTGCTGAGGCAAAGGGAAGCCACCCACTCATTTCCCCGGCGGGGGCGGGAGAGGGGGGAGGGGGGAGGGGGGGGAGGGGAGGGTGACCAATACCACTCTTTTTTCTTATCTTTATTTTATATTTTTGGAGGGAGGAAGGGGAAGGTTAGCGAAACTAAGCTATGTGCTCCCTGGCAGTCCAAGACCTGAAGTCACGCCTTCCAACATCATGCAGGCAAAAATTTGGGACACTTCCGTGCTCGCTGGAGGCACGGCCGTGTTCCGTCCTCCAGTGCCCAAAGCCCCGACTGCCAGGCCATGAACTCACGGGGCGACCTCCATCGCCCTCTGCGGGCGGCGTCGCGGGTCCGACGGCTGCGGACACTGCCCTTCGAGGCCCCAGGCGCGCCATGTTCGGTGGGCACAAATCCGTCGCACACATCCGTCGACCAAAAAAAAGGGCGGGGGAAAGGGGGGGGAAAAAGGGGGGGGAAACGATGTTTGGTGGAGATCTGACACATAGCCCCGCCAAGAAAAAAAGGAAGAAGAAAAAAAACACCTCTCTCTCTCCTTCGCCCGAATCGCACCCTCGTTTTTTGTGGCCATTCGACCGCCGCACCTGGGGGTATCTCAAGTCAAAGCTGGGCACCACCACCGGCACGATGGTGTCTGGCCGTGCGGTGACGGGACTATTCTCACTGGAGATTAGTATGGACCCCCCCAAAGCCAAAGCCATCGTATTTAGAGAGGGCCCCCTTTTCCGGGCCCCTTTGTTCAGGAGAGTACATCTGTGGATGGGTGGATGGCATAACTAAGTGATCCAGCTCAAGCACTGGTTCCTTGAACACTCATGCGAATCAAAGCAATCCTGCAAAGGGGTTAGAACTGAACACCTCCTACCCCTATGCAGATACACACGCACACAGGGACCCTGGACTATATTCCCTCGAGTATGCATGCTCTGATATTCCATCAATTATGTTCCGTGTCAGGTGGTTGGGGCCAAGTACTTTGCTTGAGTGTTCGACTTCCTTAGGCAACCCAAGCACCGCATGACCGGCAAGGTCAGCAACAAACAGAAAGGACATCCAACTTGGCGCTCAACACACTCACTCGGCAAGTGGCTGTCATCCGGTCCCCACTCCGTCGAACGCGTTGTGCAATGTTTTCGGTGAAGCATGGGGGAACACTCTCCTGTGCAATCACCCAAGCTCAGGACGCATCCGTCAACTGGCGGAACCCTAAACCCACCTGGACCTACACCTAAACCAACTCTACACCATTCCTGAACCCACCAAAACCCATCTAAAAATACCCTAAACAATGCCTAGTCATCCCAAAAACAACCTAAACCAGTGTAGCGGTCCTTTTTGCCAAAGGAGAGTGTTGCCCCGCTGAGAATCGCCTTCTGTCGAGATTGAGATGAACATCTCACTCAAGTCACTGAGCTAACAACTGCTCCGAGTTCTCCATCTTCCGTGGAAGCGATGGTGGGCTCAGCCGTCCAGCCCCGCTACCCTCCCTCCCACTAACATGGCACCTCACAGGGAGTCCCTCCAAGAGGAAACTGATCTTCCAGGTATTTTTGCGCAGGTGCCATGTTTGTGGGAGGAAGGGCAAATACCAATCGAGAGAGAGCCCCTCAGCGCGCTCCACCCCTTCCACGCCTGGCTGGTGGGCCAGCTTCACCGCAAAGAGCAGCGTGCCGGGGCGGTCCCAGGCCTGCCGAAACATCGTCGAACGTCGTTGAGAGTCGTCGTTCGGGGCTGGGCGGCTGAAAATGATCCCATGAAATCCCTGGCATTTCCGGTGGGTTACTGGGCTTCCCATTGATTATGATCAAACTTGGGCTCGTTCTCGAAATTTTGGGGTTGAAACCAGTCAGAGGAAATTCTGAGGATGTCACGGACCCAAACGGACCCAAACGGAACTGGGTGGGTCTATGTAGGGCGAAGCTATGTCTTGCACCGAAAACTTGCATTTGGCGGTGGCTCAAAAAACCGGTACCCAAAATGGGTTGGCCTGGTAAGTGGAAACATGGACCAAAACCTGCGTAACCCCCCCTGTTTATTTTTTGAGCCACGGCCATTTGAACAAGGGCATGCAGCTGCCGGCGTCAGCCAAACAGGCCATCAAGGCTTCCAAAACTCGGCATCAACCAGCTTCCGAGCAGCCCATCTGAAAATTAGGCAACTGAGCTTTTTCTGGTCCGCAGGTACTTAAACATGTTGAAACGTGATCTCTTGCACTTTGTCTTGGCCAAAAGTGGCATTTGTCCCCTCGAAAGTTGCATTTTGGTGGTGATGTTAAAAGGAAACTGTGCGTTTTGGAATTGGAGGCCGGACGTGAAAGAATAAGGACAAAGGAAGAAACTGTTGTCGTTTGAATGCTGCAAAGCTGTGCCCCGTCTTTGTGCCTTCTGCGCATCCGGCGCCGCCCACACCACAATGCCAGGCTGCCTGGCAAGTATTGTGTGGAAGGTTGGGTGGGCCCAGCAAGTGCGTGAGTACAGCAGGTGGGAACCATCTAATGAAAAGAAAAGGGAAAGAGTCGGTGAAAAAGAAAAAGGCCACCTTTTGCGAACTACAACAAACTTATCTTGGCCGCAAGTGAATCAGACTTGCCGAATTACGCTTTTGTTTTTCCAAGTCGAGGTGTCTCTGGGCGGGGGGGGGGTTCGGGCCTGGTGTCTGTTGCGGCTGACGCTGTCGCTTCATTCTGAGGTGGTTTGATAGCATTCATCCCCTGCTACCCCGAGGTCACGGGGGTAGTCCAGAAGTTGCCACCTTTCTGACAAAGATGTCAATATTGGGCGGACCCATGTCCTCCCCAGATTCACCATCGTTGCCAGTTGCTCACATGGTGCCGCCCATAGCGTTTCGAATGCTTGGACATAGATAAGTCGCATTCTTCCCCCAAACCAGAATTCACTCGGCCGGTGCTGCAAAATTACCTCCAAGGCCGGCAAACGGCTTGTCATGGATAAAAATCAACAAACAACTGAGTGTTTTCAAAGCGGATGTGACGCTTTACAAGGTGCTTCCTGAGGGGCCACACCCCACTTTAGCCCAGCGGGTTGATGCATCCGGCGTTCGATGCTCCATGCCAGCGCGGCTTGAACTTCACCATGAAGTAGTTGGAACTGCCGTCTTCAATGCCTCAGCCAGGGCCCCACCAATCTCCTTTTGGGTACCCCTTTTTGATTTTGCAGAGCCTGCTCCCTCATGGGGCCCACCTACTCCAGGAATCAAGTTCTCTCCACGACGCATCGACATATTTTAAGCGCACAACCTTCTGGACCGTTTTTCCCCAAAACCATGGGTCCTTGGTCTTCCGGTGTCCCTGTTGATTTTCCTTGGCTGCTTGCCAAAAGTCTTGGTTTCCCTCGGTTGCTGCTAGGTCCTCCAGATTTGAGAGCTTAGAATAAGCTGGTACCCTTTTTTCTTTTCTGTGGTCTGTTTTAGGAACGGAACCGAATCTCCCAGCCAAAAAAGAGAAACGGAAAAGGTAAAAGGGCAGAGCTGGACCCTCGTGACCGGTTTCGTGACTCTTTCCTCTCGCGTCCCGCTTTGGGACCCAGGCGCCGCAGCCGCTCCAACAGGTTCTGCAGCACTTTGCCAGCGCTCCCAACCTGAAACTCGCTCGCCCAGAAGGATTTGGGCGAACGACTTTGCAGAGGTAACTTGGATGCCAGGGTTAGGGCCAAAGTGGGTTGTAACCCAGGTTACAAGGGTTACAAGTGCCCGAGAATCATGGATGTACGGGTTATACCTTGGCTGTAACTTTGGTTGCAAGGGCCTTGAGTGGTGCTTTAACCATGGTTTCGGCTGTAAGGGCTGTAATTTGGACGCAACCATGATGGTTGCAAGGATTATAACTTGGCGGCAGGCTGGGTTCGACCAACGAAAAAAAAAAAATCACCCGGGAGTCGAGCACTTGACCAGAAGTCGCCAAGCTCAAGCGGAGCAGGGATTCGAGCCCGAAATCGCCGGCAAATATGCTTCTGCTTCCCCTCGAACCCCCCCCCCTTTAAGCTGACATTCTTTGCAAACACCTCCTTTTGTTCATTTGCACGCGGCCAGGGCCGGGGCTGTACCAACATGCGCAACCAACCGTAAATCTACTGACAGCGGTAACTGGCTGCCCCCCATTTTTGGGCCCTCCGCCCTACTCACTTCGCTACTCAGCTGACGCCTCCGCCTTGAGGCTGGCTTTCATGACAAGGGTTACATGTGGGTTTCAACCCTGGTTATAAGGGTCATAACTTGGCGGTAGCCATGGTCACAAGGGTTGTAAGTGGGTTATCATAACCATGGCTACAAGGGTTGCGAGTGGGGCATCGCCATGGTTGTAGAGGTTATAACTTGGCTGTAAGCACGGTTGCAAGGGTTACAAGTGGGTTATCACCATGGTTATAACCATAGTCATAAGGGTTGTCGCGTGGCTGAAAGCATGGTTACAAGGGTTACAAGCGGGTTGTAGCGATGGTTACAAGGGTGACACGCGTGCTATTAACATAGTTATAAGGGTCGTAATTTGGCTGTAATCATGGTTACAAGGGTTATAAGTGGGTTAGGTGGCTGTTAACACGGTTACATTGGCAATAAGTGGGTTATGACCATTGGCTACGAGGATTGCAAGTGGGTGTTAACCATGGTCATAAGGGTCATAAGTGGATTGTAGCCATGGTTACACGCGGGGTAAACTATGGCAAGGCAACGTTTAGAGGCCGTTCATTGGATGCCGCTTCAATTGACCCGGTGTGGGTTGTGATTCCGATGTCACTCGACCCGTTAAATCTCTGAGCCCGCTACAAGCTCAAGGTTCAAGGCATGCAACCGGCGACGGCGCCAAGGAAGGGCAACCGGACTCCTTTGGGTAATGTTGACCCAGGATTAATAAACCCGCCCCGTTATTAGGGCGTGTTTCCCTCCAAGAGTGGTCTGAATCCCCACTAAAAGGGGACACCCCCGGATCAAAATTACTACCCCCAGCTCCTGGGACCTCGCACATGGACTTTCAGGGGTTTATTCATCCGGACCTCACCAGCAGCTTTGCCTTGGGCCCCGGCCGTGGGAGATTTCGGAGACCAAGAACCGGTGCCGTAGGAGAAGGTACCTCTTTCCTGGCGACACACTCTGGCGATGCCCTGAAAGGAACGGTCTGGCAATACGGGCTACATACTTACAAACAAGGTCCTCGGATCCTGTCCTAAGTTGTGCTCAGAATACCTCACAACGAAAGTCTATTCTATATAGTTGGGGCCCTAAAAGTGCGTGCTAGCGGACCTTGGCAGTCCCAACAGAAGAATTGTGCCCAAAATGGCAATGTATCTGAAGCATCAAGACAAAACAAGATGCACCAAGAGCAGGCTCCACTCTCAGCTTTTTTCAGAAGGGTGGGTCTCTTTCTGTCATGTGTACGAGCTGAAGCATAAAAGTTCGAGGCATATGTGGCAGATCTGAATGACATGAGCGCGAGCAGAAGCTTCAGCCGAGACTGCTTCACTCGTTGCATCTTTCGGCCGGCTCCACATATGGCCATGGGTCAAAATCCAAATCGTACCCCCAGTGAACATCCCAATCCCCACTAATTCCAAAGTGGGTGGTGAATTCACCTACCAACCAAAATGGGATCCCAAAACGGTTTTGAGCCACAGCCATATCTCAGATCCCGACTTCCAGCTCTACCTCGTCGCTGGCCATCATCTGGCAATGTGCTCCCAAAGGTTTTGAGGGGTCCTCGGAAACACCAGCGAAACACCGGACCCTTCCAAGGGAGTTGTTCAATCTGCCACTTCCAGGATGTTTTGCTGTTGATCGGTTCAGTACGGTAGATGGGAGAGGCTTTCACCTGCCTTTCCTTGGAGGGCAACTCGCTCGTGGGAAGGACAGAGTGAGAATTTATGGAATGCCACAGCAAACAACATGCAAAGAGGTTGTCCAAAAAACACAAGATATTCTCCACCCTTCTTCCCGGCAAGTCGCTTCGGTCATTTGGCCAGCCACAAACCGATGGAGGAGCTGCGCACTCCGCACCATGCTATCAGTTGGCCATTTGGCCAAACTCGGGTCTGTCAAAGCCCCCGATTGCACAAGCAATCTGTTTTAATGAAACATGATTGCTCACAAGCAAGAGGTTTTCCGAAACATCCCTTCCACACATGTCACGCCATATGCAAAGCTGCAACAAGGTGTGCCCGTCCCAACAGTGCAACTGGCGTATGCGAGGAGCCGAAACAACAGAATCTCCATTGCAGCCTTGAACCAACCAACCCGCTCTCGGAAAAGGGGGCTCACTCTGGGGCCTCCCCTATTTCCAACTCCCCGAATCGCACATCATCAACAAAGGTCTGTGGAGGATACCTCATTTGGGGGTGGTTCTGCCGGAAAACCCAAAGTTCCAAGAAACAAAATGAGACCCCAAAATCGCGCCATCCAAGCTGCGCCCCAAACCCAAACCCCGGCAATACAAAGAATGGCCTAATGGTCTTGTGAGGGTACATGTTTTTGCCTGGTTTTGATCCGGAAACCCAAAGCTCCCAAAATCGATCCATCCAACCTGCCCCCCAGAGGCAAAAAATGGCCTGCTGGCAGTCCCGCAGAAGCTTGCGGTAGGGCTCCAGGAAGTCCTTAGGCCTCTGGCAGGAAAATTGATCTGAACATCTGCAGGGCGCCAAAAGTGCGCGGATTTGCCAAGGGGACAACTGATGTTTTCGACCTCCACATAGATTTGCAAACTTTACAAAAGTTCCAAAGCCTGAAATAAGGGATCCCCAAGTAGAGGATCTTTATTATAACCGATTATAATTTCAGGTGAGCTCGTCGTAAATCATGCAGAATGATTTGTGGGCACCGTACAATAACATCAAGGATCCCGCAGTAAAGAGCCGACATGAGTAAAAAAAAACAAACTGATGCAGGCAGGCCCTGAGCGTGCTGTCCTTGGCGAGCCCGCCATGTTTTTCTTGATTGGGGCATCGCCCGATTGCTTCGTGCCATGTGAGATAAATGCCGACATGGGCTAGCTTTTGGTTCGGGGGTGTCTCCCCCCTTGGTGGCCTCGAATGGGATTAAGCTCTTCAAAAACCAGTGGGCCGTACCCGAGGAACCTGCGAGCCTCACGCTTTCGAAAATCTCTTGGCGTCCGGGCACGTCCATACGGAGGCGGCAGAGAATCCGGGAGTCACGGTGCTTGCCAATGCGGTGGCCCACCTCTCTGACGTTTCCGAGTCCGGAAGAAGATGACATCCGCAAGAGTAACAGGGGGGCCCCTAATACTAAAACCGGTTTTTCCCGGGGGACCCACTTAGTATTTGGGGGGGGCGTTTAGCATTAGGAAAGAAACACCTCCCAGACAAGTTGTTTTTCGAGAACCCCTGAAAATTTTCACGAGGGATTCGCTTTTCATAGGGAACGCCCATTTGTCTCCCCGTCTGGAGATAGCCACCATACCCGCATCTCAGCAGCAATGTGTGTTCAAGCAACGCACACTGGACAACTAGTCTGGATGAAGGTAGCCTATCTGAACAAGCGCCCCGAAGGATGAAGCCAGTTCATATGAACAAGAGCTGTTCAGTGAGACTCTGGTTGCTGTTCAATGAGCGACTTAAGTCAACCCAAGCGCGGCTTGGGCTTGTGTAATCCTCGAACAGGCCGAACAAATTTTGTCTAACTCTCCACAAAGACGTCACGCAGCATGCGCGCCTGGACCATAAAGGTGTGCCTGTTCACCGAGAGCTGGCCTCGGCCGACAAGCGCCACGACTCCACGACTCATCCTGGGCGACAAGACTTAGACCCTCCTTTAAGGCATGTGGCTACATGATCATTCTGGTTCAGGTTGGCTTATTGTAGTTCAAGTTGCAGCTGTATGGCTGAAACGAACCAAACGCCCAACAAAAGCAACCGGCCTCGGCTAATATTTTATGCTACTGTGCTCGAATTTGCACAACACGTTGTCAGGTGTCCAGTAGGGCATAAGCAACCTGGGCGGTTCACATCCCTTTGGTCCTCTCAAGGAGACCACCCTGCCTCGATCTCTCGGAAGGCAATGCTACTTTCAACCTTCTTGCCATGATAAATTCCCGCCGTGAAACAAGGAGTCATGCTCACTGCTCTAAGTTTGGCACATGGGCATCATGCCGCCATGTCAGCATGAGTGATGTTTGGCTTGTTTAAATTCGAACAGGAGGGCATGCTTCGAGCACAAAGGTGCTAGCACCACCAACAGGGTTCCATGGTTGACAACCAGGGATGGTTGAGTTCCCCAAAAGAGAAACCCCTGGGCATAAATCTGCCAGGCGGTCGTCAAAAAATCGACCCCTTCCCACTAACCGTGGCCCCAACTGTCCGTGAAGTATTTCAGCGGCGCCAGCGCCGGCACCTAGCGGCGGCGTTTTCCGGGACGGACCACTCCAATCAGAGAGCTCGTTTGAGGGTTCTACTTGGGTGGGATGGCACGGCAACACCCACCTGGGGAAACAAAAACGAAAACCTATTGATCAAAGATGAGTGTCAGCCGTGCACACACACACACACACACATTGGTGTGCACGAAACCTTTATTGAGATTGACGCCGATCTCACAAGTTCTCACGAACTCTGGGCGGCTTGTGATCTTGGCAGCTGCCAAACAGAAAGGAAGAAACCAAGGAGCCTCAAAGCGAGGCCCCCAGCACTTGCCATCACGCAGCAAGGACATCCCGTAGGCTGGCCCAAAGATCCGAGCAATTCAAAGAGGCCGTCATGCAAACAGCTTCACATAATTAAATTTATGGGTATGATGGTTTCAAAGTAGCCCACAACCCCGTTCTATTTACAAGTAGGCCTTTCTGGTAGAAGCATGGAACCCAGTCTTTCAAAAGTGGCAAAAGCTCCAACCCATCGAGGTCTTTTTCAAGAGAAACCTTTTAACTGAGTAAGTATGGGCTACGTAGCCCCCAGGGAACGAGCTTGAAGAAACACCTTGTCCAGTTGCATAGTGGTTGGAAAGAGGGTAACCCCTGGCTGTGCAAGGGTCTTGCAGCACCCCTTCCTTCCTTGTCCTCCTTCATAAACCTGATAGAATTTCGTACAATTCAATGACAGCTTCAAAAAACAAAATATCAAAATGCCAACCCATGTTGCAATGAGTCATCCTCTATTCCAACCCATTTTGGCTCAGTCATCCGCTTCCATCCGCCGCCCATCCCAGCTTCTTCCCCGACTCTTCCAGGCACCAGCTCCGGCGCTGCCAGGTGCGTAGAGAAGCCTAGGTACTGGAAGTCCCGAGGTCGAGACGTTTCCAAATCCTGGATTTCACCTTGGGAATGTGTGGTCTTGTCAAAGATTTCTGGGTCTTGGCGCTTTTCTTGTGAAATCTTTGACATGCCCTTCTTGGTTTTCTTCGAAATGTGTGTGGGCTTGCAGGGTCCTTCTTCGACCTTGAGGGCCAGGGTCTCTCTTGACCCCCTCACTTTCAATCCAATTCACGGAAAGGCAATCGATTGCATCGATTGTTCTCCCAAGGAACCTGACGCGAGTCCTGGAAAAGAATGGCCGAAGTGTCTTCAAAGGGACCCTCGGGCGGGCTCCAGGAAGCAGAGATTTCGCTCGATTGGCGGATGGGATTGATGCCTTGTTTCTTCGAACAGCCGATGAGCATCGCTTCAACAAAATGTTGGCTGAATTTGTGCCTCCAGAAGGGAGAAAAACAAACAATCATTGATTCCTGCAAAGTCTTCCCTTCTCTATCTATGTATGCAGGCACTTGCGTGTCATCTCAAAAAGAGGCGAGACCACCCCTCCGGATGCATTTTCCGGCGAAAGTGCCTATATGTGTGTGTGTGCGTTGCTGAGGGGAGAGGCGATATTCCACTCCATCCTCTGCCCACTCAGCCAAGGCAGGTCCAATGGAAAAAGGGGTCCCGTTTTCAACTGTGGGATAAGGGTGTGTAAGTTTTGAGGGCACCTTTCTTGGGTTTGGTTCAGAAAAGGGATACCGAAAGAAAACCACCCGTTTTAGGGGATTCCCTGAAAATGTGCTGTATGGATGACAGGACTTTTCGAGGGTAGACACGTAGGAGAGCGCTCAAAGGTTGCAGGGTGCTCTTTCTTCATCCCAAGTTGTATTCTCCAGAAGTTGTGGAGAGAAACTTCGATGGAGATGATGATCAGAGCTGCAGCCAATCTAGCGCCACTTTCATACCTCCGCAACCAGCAGATATACCCCTATCGCAATTTGAGTCTATCCAAAGGCATGAACGCCAAGCCCCTTGGCTGCAGCATGCGCTTCCGTTCCAACAACTCCTTGTTGCTTTAGTGCTGTGTGGGCCACGACCGACTTTTTCATGTTCACCCCGAAAGGACATGAACGGCCAAGTTGTCTTTTGTCTTTCAGGTACTCCATCCAGCGCGATGCCTTTCGTAGAATTAGCACAGTTCCATCACGCATCATGAATTCAAACATTTGCCCATGGCAAAACACGGGCCCCTTTGACCAACCCGCGCCCTGAACAAGGATGCATGTATTTGGACTGCATTCCACTCGTGGACACCACAAAACATGGGGACCCCACCATTTGAGAGGGAGCTCCCTATGAAATGAATAATGTAAGGGCCAAACTATACAAACAGGATGCTGCCATCATCTGGGTGTGGCTCAAAATTAAACAGGAGGGGCAAACCGCAGGTTTTGGTACCCATGTTTCCACTTGCCAGGGCAACCCATTTTGGTGCCGGTTTTGTGAGCCCCAGCCGTCTTGTCTTTGTTCGATAGCACCACGCACCCCGAGTCTCCTCTTTTTTACATCCTAGTTCTTGGATGTTAAACTAGGTCCTAACCAGGGATTTTACACGGGTTGGTTTGCCGTAACCCTAGGGTTCTTTCCCCCATTAAAAGACTGGTTGACCCAATTTGGATGATGACAATGATTGGGTAAATAGTGGTGGTTATACGAACCCAACCATTTGGGTGTGGGTCAAAAATTAACCACCAGGCGACCGCAGGTTTTAGTCCATGCTTTTCCATCTACCAGGGTTCCCCAAATGGGTACCCATTTTTGACCCACGGGCATTTTTATCTGACTCTGACCTCAAAAAAGTGTACCCAAAATGGCCCCCTAGGTGAATGGACACAAAGACCAACATTTGCGAACCCTGGCTCTTAAATTTGGAGCCACACCAATATGAACCCAACCATCACTTTTTTCATGCGGCTTGAACCGCAGGGGTAGCAGTTCGAGTGGGACTGGGCCGCGCACGCCAACCCGCCCCCTTCAGCTTCCGCTGGAGCTCGGTGGTGGACATCTTTTCCAGGTCTGACCTCCTGATCTCGGCGGAGTTCCTCAAACCCGTTGGGCTCGTCTTTTCGGTTGTTTTGGGGGGAAAAAACGATGGCGATTCCTACCAGGGAAACTCATCTATTTGCCCGAAAGGGACACCTACTGTGGACGAAATCCCTTGCGCGCCACTTTGAAACCATGGTTGAAACCAGAAGGTGTGCGTGTTTTTTCGAGTTTCTCAAACCGTTGGGCCCCCTTTGAGCTCACGAGACAGAAATGACTTGGAACGCTGAACCACGAAATCAGGGCATTCTGTTTGCAGGGCAAGGAAAATTCCTTTTCGGGGTTAGGAGGGTATGTATTTAGCTCGCAAGCCCATAGGTGTCCTTTTAGGGCAAATAGATGGCCCTGGTAGATGATGAAACCACCAGGTAAACCAGGGCCATCTATTTTTTTCCCAAAACAACCAAAAAAGGACACCTATGGTTGCACCCCCTTTTTAGTTCAGAAACTGGGCTTTGAGAATCCGGGTTTAGAGAACTTTGCTAAAAATGTGTTCCAACAATGGTAGATCCTTTTGGCTGGTATCTAAGGGGAAACCAGTGTAGTCAGTTTAGGGCACCCCTGAAACACTTGAGCCGCTTCAAACCACACGGCCCCGAAGGCTTGAAGCTGCATGCTCTTCTGCCCATGGCAGCGGTAGGAGAATCGAAGTCGAGTCGTGAATGCTTGGTCGTGCGCCAGCCAAAGGATAGTTGTGTGGCGGCCAAATAGCAATCCTGTACAACGGAGCGGCAATGGATGATGCAGCTCCTTCGTTTGCGGACCAGTAATGAAAAGCTACTTCGCGCCCTGAGGAAGAATGCTCTCATGACCGAAACTCAATAGGGGGCCAAGTTGCCAAGGTTGAAATCAAAAGGGGCCTCGTTGAACATTATCTTCTATGCTAAGCGGGGGAAAAACACAACAACGGCGACTGTGCTGTCCATTCCTCGGCCATGTGGAAAGCACCAGGACGGCACCCCAAAAGCCGCAGCGTTTAGCGCATGAGTTTGTCTCAAATAGGGGAACGCCGAAAACAATGCCTTTGGCTTCGATTCGTGGTTTCCTTTCAAACTCACCCTCAAGAACGACACACTCAAACCAATCAAACACCTCCAACGCACCCAAAGCCGAGCGCGATCGCTGTGGGGCCTGCTAATGCCTGCGTATGCGGCCTGGGATTCGAACGAGATCGACACCTGGCCCAATTAGAAGGAGCCCCAAAAGGGGGGTCCGTTTCCCAAAAGGCGATTCCTCTTAACACAATTCGTTTCCAGTAAAATTCAAGACTTAGGAGGCTCTCGTTGACAGTGAAGTCGAATAATGAAATCCGTGAATCAGTACTGGGAAGATTTGAAAAAAGTTGACTCTTCAGCGATCTTGATCATGCATAAATCACTTAGTCAAAATCCCGAGGTGGACCCCAAACCTGCCGACGAAGGAGGGTGCCTACGTCATCCCGTCAACCCCAGCAATCTGGCTATTTGCACACTGCGCGGAGAAAAGAGTGGAGGGCATGTTAGCAACAGCGCACCCGTTGTGAAATCCAGCAGTACGGCAATCTTGGCATCAGGACAGAACGCAAAAACACAACACATATGGCCCCATATGGCCACTTTGAACGTCATATTGGTGGCATAAGTAAGGGCCATATGTAGAATAGGGTTGTAGGATATGTTGAAAGCAAACTCAAGTCTGGTTATTTAGCCCCTCAAAACATCACGGCGGCCAGCGGCTCACAAGGGAATCAGCCGCACTGAATCGCCTCAACCGTGTGAAGAGGCTCGGCGGCACGCTGGTCAACCAAAAGCAAACACTGAGCTGCGCAAGCTAGACACCCGGAAAGCAAACACCCTGCGTTGCTTTCCTTAAAAGAAAAATGGAAAGCAACAACTGCTTTTCTATCCTTTGAAAGAAAACAAGTGGCTGCACGCCTCTCACCACTCCGCCCGGAGAGCTGCTGCTTCCGGATCGCCATCAGCCTAAAGAAAAGGAGGGGCACCCTGCTTTTTGGGTGGAGTGTCATTATTTTTTTTCTGACAGGGCCCCTAAGCATCACTTCAAGGAAGCTCGTGTCACATGTTTACAGCCACAAAAAACGGGGAAATATTGGGAAGGAACCCTGTCCTGCACGACGCCAACAAACCTGGGCTGCCCTCAGATCCCCCGCTCAAAGTGACTAACTTGTGTTTGTGAAATTCGTTGAAACTGCCACTAACTACCACCAAACACTAGGATCTAAAAAGCTAAGGAGTAGCGGATGCCTGGGAGCCACCAACCAACCCCCTCGACTCCTTTTTTGGGGGGCAGAAAGGCCGCCCGCCCAGCGCCCGCTGGGCGCCCGTGCCACCTTGGGGATCTGGAAGAACTTCTCCTCAGCACGCCACTCAAAATGGCAACCCTCTGGACTTCTTTTTGCCAGTTCTCGGCCTTTCAAATGCCTTTCTTTGCCCTTCGGAACAAAAACAAAAACAGCAAAGATAAAAAGAAAGAAAGTCAAAGGCGGACAAAAGCTGACCCTGATCAACTTCCCACGGTTTAGGTTTAGGTTATCTTTTAAGTGAGTCTTGTGCGGATAGGTCTCAACTGAACACAAAATCGAGGGAACAGAGCTGTGGGCTCCGCAACGATTTGGGCTGAAGATCAATTCTCATTCGTCCCGGTGGACAGCTTGACAAACAGACAGACGGGCAGGCAGACAGACGGGATTCGCAGACACACAAACATCAGAGACAAACAAACAAACAAACAAACAAACAAACAAACAAACAAAACAAACAAACCAGCAAGCAAGCAAGCAAGCAAGCAAACAAACAAACAAACAAACAAACAAACAAACAAACAAACAGACAAACAAACAAACAAACAAAACAAACAAACCAGCAAGCAAGCAAGCAAGCAAGCAAGCAAGCAAACAAACAAACAAACAAACAAACAGACAAACAAACAGACAAACAACACACACACACACCAAGAAGCGAAAAAAGAGGGGGGGGAAAAAAAAAACACACACCAGCTTCGCTGCCTGTGCAACAGCCCAAGCTCAATGCTCCCAGAGCCCCAGAGCCCAATGCTCGCCGAGGCACAAAGAGCTTCGAGGGCGGCAACGGCTGCGTGGGCCGCGGCTGCGAGTGGTGGATCTGGCGCAATCGCCGCGGTGTCCGCAAAGATGGGGCCCCAAAGGGTTCGGTTCTACTGGGTCCTCCAGATTTGAGAGCTTAGAATTTTGGTTGGTACCCACCTTTTTTTCTGTAGTCTGTGTTGGTGGAACACTCCCCCCAAAAAAGGGGGTTAACAAGGGCACTACTGGAAAAGCTAGGTTTGGTTCAGAACTGAGTAACAGTGCGCAGGCTCATGTTCAGTCGCTCATTGTTCATTGTCTGACAGATTCAACCTACAAGACTCAAGGCTCAGCCAAGGAAGTGAGTCCTTGCTGTACCCAGGCGATGCTTGCCCTTGTGTTGCTCAACATGTGTATGCGAATTGTTTCCCTCAAGATCGATATTTGTTTTGCCAACAGCATGGCATGTGAAAACGGACAGGGGCGCATTGTCCAGGTGGAATAATGCAACATCAAGCGTTCCTCCATTTTTTTCTCATTAAAAAAAACAAAAAAAATCCACGAGGCCCGTTACATGTGGCATGCCACCGAGCTGTTCTCAAAGCAACTTCGCTAGGGAAACACCGCTGGCCCGGAGGATCTGAACTCAGGGGTCCGAGCTCCCGCTTCGGCTGGAAGTAAGGAGCATCCCCAACAAATATGGGGGGGGGGTCTTTCTTGGAGACCCTTTTTGGGCTGTTTCCAAAGGGGAACCAGAGGAGGGAAAGCCACCAGTTTTGAGGCTGCCTCATTCTGAGACAAGCAATATTGTCGGAATCCCGGGCGCTGATCAACGCCCCTGAAAAGGCGGCGTTGCCGCGTTGCACCCACGGCTGTGCCGGCGCACCGACTTCTCCTTGGCGTCGATCCATGCCATCAACTTGCCTCAGACCGAGGCGAAACGCCGGGGGTTTCAGACCAAAACTTCCACGAGGACCGATGTTTGAGGCCCAAGCACATGATGCCTTCGGGAAGGCGAACAAATGGCGGACCCCAAGTGATGCATTCTCAAGAGAACCAAAGTCACCGGCAGCCAACTCATTGTTTACTTCGATGATCCAGGCCATCACCGCGCCCAGCCAGCACAGTCCGAAAGGACACGCATCAAACTTTGAGCTGTCCGTTGAAGCCATTTGGCTAACACAAACAGGTACATGTTGTTCGCCAGCCGTTTGATATGCACCTGGCAATCAACGGCCAGGTCAGTTGGGCATCTCTCCTGAGCATGAGGGCTTGGTCCCAAGCAAAGGGCCAAAACAAGGCGGGCTTGCATACAGACCTGCTGTGCGAATCTCTGACAAGTCAGCAAATGTTGGCTTGTGTTGCAAACAAAATATCGTATCGAAACAGCAGCAGGATGACCAATCTCACCGCCTGAACAGGAGACCTCCTTCTTCACTGCGTGTTGTCTAGCTCTGGAATCAGACATCTGATCGCACACCCGCCCTCCCCCTCCTCCCCGGAAAATGTAGACCGCAAACTCAAACAGCCTCCCCACGAAAACTCAAAAAACCCAAATCCATCTCCAAACCAGTGACCCAGCGACCCCAAAAAACCAAACAAAAGAACGAAACACACAAACAAACAAACAAACAAAACAAAATAAAACAAAACAAACAAAACAAAACAACAACAAAAAGTGCATCGCGAAGACCAAACAAATTCCCTTCACGGCTCCGCACGGAGCTCCGCGTTTCGGGAGCTCCCAAGGCTCCCGCCGATGGCTTTGGCCAGGTCCTCCCGGTCCGGGCTCTCCCCGAGCTGCGGGAGCTCTGGGCGCGACTCCTGGGTTGGATGAAGCGTGGGTGGGGTGGGTGGGGTGGGGTGGGTTGGGTTGGGGTGGGTCAAGTTGGGTTCAGTTGGGTCAAGTTGGGTTGGGTTCAGTCGGGCTCAGTTGGGTTTTCAGTTGGTTGAAGTTTGGATTGAGAGGTTGGATGTTGGGAGGCTGAAGCTTGGGTAAGGAATGGTTCAGAGTCAAGGGCGAAGGCTTTGAGGTGTCAGGAATCGATTGAGGCGAGGTTTGAAGAAGGTTGTCATCCAGGGTTTCCGTGCCCACGTGCTGAAGCAGGCGGGGAAGAGGAGGGGTTTGATATGTTGGTTGATTTAGGATGATTGGGGAAAGGTTGGGAAGCATGATGCAGCAAGTAAACCCAGGTACCCCTCAAGCTTGTCAGCGGTGCTTCGAGCTTTAAACAGGGGCGTGGCCCAACCGTTTTAGATTTTTACTGTGTCGTTGTTGTTGTTGTTGCTGTTTTTTTTTCTTGGTGGGGGGACGGGGTAGTGGTTGGGTCCCCTGATGCCTGTAAGGCGTGGTTGAGGGCAGGGGCAAGGAACACACAAGCTGTGCAAAGTTGATCTGGCCGCTTGCAAACATGGCTTCCTGTTGTGTCGCCATCAACCATTGCCCAGGATTTCCACATCCTAAGCTAAGCTCCAAGTCTTGCTTTACTGATCCATCCACGGGAAAAAAATCGCCGTGTGCCTTGGGCTGGCAGAAATCGCACATGTATCCACAAGATCGTCTCAGATCGTTCACCCCAAGATCTGGGTCTGAAATTCTGCAATTGAGGCAGCTCATGCGAAAGTGGGAGGGGGTTCAAGTTGGGGACACCCGCAACATGCCTAGGAAGAGCCCAGGGAGGGTTTGGGGCCGTTGAAGCAGACTTTGCGCCTTGTCGTAGCCCGGGCCACAGCACAGCTGCGGCCAAAATCGCTCCTTGGAGCTGATGGAATGGCCATGTCTGACATATCCCACTCCCTTTTGCCCAAAGGCCTGAGAATGGCCTCTCTTCCTTTCCCCTTCCTTTCTTCTTGACAAAACCCCAAAAACGGGTACCACCAAACAAAGATACACCCAATTTTCGCGTTTTCGCAGTTTGGCTGACACAGGAGGGGCGCCTGTGAAGCTACGGAATATTGAATTGAGCGGCGACCAAAACCCATTGACTTTGGTTTCCATCAAGATGGTTACCAAAATTTAGGTATAATACCAGGCAGTAAAACAATATATACCAATAGGCATGCCTACCTTATTTGACGCCGCATTGTTTGGGGGAGGGTTTTTCTTGTTTGCTGTTGCTTCAATGAAATCCATTCATGGAACACTCTGCCACTACATGGTGCAAGCCTTGGTTTCGACATACGGGGGTCTTGCTTAGCGTTCTATACCCATACAAAGAATAGATCCAGGCAACTAGACCATCTTCCGGGCTTCGGACCCCGATTTGAACCCGGCCGCGGGAGGGGGGGGGGGCACACAAAAAATCACCTGCCATCTGCCTTCCAGAACTTTTGCCAGCGATGAGCTTTCAACTGCAAGATGTCATGAGCTCCGCTTGCACCACGACATTGCCTATGCATGCTGCATTCAAGTAGAGCAAACCGAGTTTGGTTATACTGGTGGCGTGCGAACTAATATGGCCCATGGGGTTTTGGGAGCTGCTCACTTGTAGGACAATAGATGTGCAAGCAACCCTCTCTACCATTGACAGAAGTCACGGCCGTTGCCAACGGAGTTCCCTGGGTCCCCGGGTTGTCTGCTGCTCTGCATCCCTTTGCGGGCAGAAATGCATCTTGCCAGGATGGGCTCGTTTTGAAATGGTTTCGGGATTCTCCGTACGTTGGATTTTGCCGGTGGTTTCCCTTGAAACTGCCACTTTCGGAGGTTCCAACAAGGACAATCAGAGTCGGTGGCTCGCTACACACCATAGCAGCGACACTGTACAAAAGTGCCATCTCTAGGTCCTCCAGTAGAGAGGTTAGAATAAGGGTACTCTTTTTTCTGTAGTCTATTTTTGTAGGAGACCCTCCCAAAAAAGGGTAAAAGGGCACTACTGGGGGACCTGGATCTTGAGACTTCGCGAAGCGGCACCGCCGCCGCTGTTCTTTTGCATAGGCTCTTTGCAGCGCTTCGCCAGCCCCTTTGGAAAGTTCTGCAGTGCGTGGGAATGCTGCCGCTCAGGCGAAGACAGCCCTTTGTTTGTTTCTACACAACACATGATTTTCCGGCTGATGCAACCTGAAATCTGGAGCCTGTTTGTTTGCACCCGATGTAGCAAGGTCAACCCCCAAACAATCCGCAGAGTTAAACCTTGCCGGTACTGGTGATTCCTGGTCCAACTGATCTCAAAGTGTTTCTGCTTGCAACCCTGAGAATGCAGTGGACAGTGCATTTGCGTCACATGTCTACAGGTGAACAAAACGTACGTAGCATTTATGGAAGCACCCATTGCCTGTGCCACTTCCCCTGCCAAGCATCATCAAACGGCTCGGAGAGGCGGCGGGTGTCGCCAGCCCTAAGCGGGAAGCGAGCTGTCAAGCCAAGCCCTCGCATGTGTGTATGTGTGTGTGTGCTCTAATGCCGTGTAAAACCGACACGAGGAGCATCCGACTTGTTTTAAAGAGTAGGCAACATGAAGTTCTCCCCTGCTCTTCAAAAGCCTTATATTATCCTTCCATCTCCTTTTGCGGGAACACCTCTCGCGGGTTGTGTTGCCTTGGCGCAGCTGCCTCTTGGCGCATCGCGGTTCTCACCTCGGGGCCGTGGCAGCACGTCGAAGAGGTTGAAGAACTGGGTCACACAGTCCTCAGCGAGTCTCGAAGTTCAGAGCGAGCGGTCAACTGAAATTGGACCGGAAATAAGCGAGTGGGTTCCCCGAGCACGGGTGACACCGGTCGCAAAACCAAGCAACTTGGGACGCGATTGAATTTGCCCAAAACCTTGACTTGAACAGGGATCCTTACATTATACACCTGAACATTGCCTTGTAAATGGTGGGTTCCCTTTATCTTGGTGCAAAAACCCATGTTTCAAATGGGCAAAATGATGCAACATGTATCTTTTAAGGAGCCCTGTTGAAACAAGCATGGAGCAGGTGCTCCGCAGCTTGGAAGGGGTCATGCAAGCAATCGGCGCATTCTGACGAGTGACACTGTTGGTTGATCCATTGGCCATGAGAGGCCACTGCAAAACACAGCACGCTGCGCTCTGATCACCATACTCTTCCGAACTGCCGAGCAGTCCATGATGTGGAATTACTTCTTCATCGCTTGGGGAAACTGCAAGTGTTGAGATGAAGTCGAGCAAGGCTGACAACACAAAGGGTTTGCCGCCTCGCTGCCTACCCAGAAAAGAAACCCCGTCCAAAGAACTTTCCCAAAAACAGGAAATCCAGCGGAGCTGGACGTCAAAGGACAGATGCCTCTTCGAGCAGCTCAGAACGGCGCCAATGCGAGCCCCTGAGAGGGTCTACCAGGCTACCGTCCTCTGTTCGGAACTCATTTTGACAGAATCAAAAAATGGAGTCAAACATGAAAGGACACCTCTGATTGACAACAAAATATCTATCTGCGCTCGAGTCGCAGATGTGTGTGTGCGTTTCACTGGAACTCTACATTTGACTGTTGATCGACATCTGATAACGCCGCGCTTTAGTTAGAGCCGAGCAGCAGAGCGCTCGCCGTCTTCATCTTTGTTGGAGTTTGGGCAAATGTTGAAGAGGCAGTTGTCCTGCTATCCACCATGCGGGTAATTAGAACCGCGCGCTGAAAACCGCCCAAACACAGGCTGGTCCAATCTAGGCTCAAACGTTCAGGACTGACTGTGGTCTATGGCCCAATTCTGCATTTAGAATCGCTGTATGATAGAAAGAAGACTCGGTATTTCCAAAGTTCAAAGATAGCTTCGAAAATCTCACTACGAGGCGAAATCTTCAACCTGACGTTGTGTCCTCTTGACCCCCATGAGTTTAGGTCTAGCCAGCCATTGAAAGGCTGACAGCCCAGACCACCATCATGGCTTGGCAGGCAGCACCTTCAAATTGGATCAGTTTATCTTGAGGACCTTCATCTGCACACAAATCAATGCCCCAGGATCAACGGATCATGCGTGTGGCAATGAACGGGCGGAAGCTTCAAACTGCAAACAACCAAGCCAGGTACGCACAAGCGTCGCCTTTCTTGCTGGCTCAGAAGCTCCAACCGCGCCTGCAGCGTGCGTGAGATGAAGAGGTTCTGGTCGAACTCTACGAAGCCACTCCGCGTGGCGAAAACCTGGGGCTGGGAGATCCTGTTATTAATTTCATTGGCTCTGAAATGTATGCAAAGGTTGTTGCGTTAAGTACAGCTAACCCCTTAATTGGTGGCTTGGGAATTTGAACCCTAGCTTTTGCAGAGGGTCAATGGGAAACCCCTCCTTAACCACCAAACCAATCCAAACCAAAAAATAGATTTTGCAACTAACAACTCACCACGGGCGCGGCGGTCTTCGCCAATCTTGCCGCTGAGGGGGAACTGTCACAGTGCCGAGCCCCCAGCATCCACCAAGGTGTCGTAGGCATCGTCCGTGTACTGGCGACAACTGTGATGCAATTTTCACCACAGCAAGCCTTGGGCTTCGCTTCCTATCCGATTATCATCCTTCCCCATGCCCCCCCCCAAAAAAAAAGAAATAAAGAAGAAAGAACCACTGGTTTCCAAGCTCAGCCAGGATCTGTCAAGGTCTCGCATGCGTATGCGCATAGCCAAACAGCCACGCTCTTCACCAACCGACGCCTTGACACCGCGCAACGGCTGAATGCTCCCAGACCTGGCCACTGAACGCAGAACTCTCGACTCTAGAAGCCGCTAGGGGAAGGAGCGAGTGAATGCTCCTCTTTATCTCTTGCCAATGTTTATTACTGTAGGGCGTTTTTTTCCTGCTGAGGCTGAGACGAATCGATATCGGTACAGTAACATAGGGGATCACAAGTTTGCTTCTCATGTCAAGGCCCTTCAGATTTCACTGGAACAGCTCCCGCTTTAGACTCCTGAACTCATGCCCCCCAAACGAATAGTTTCTAAAACGGCAATGTCCACCGACCAACGGCTTTTCGTTGCACCATCGAAACCCAGGTTCTAGTCAGCTCGCCCAATGTGCTGACTGAGTTTATGTTGTCAGCTGCTGACACGGCGGCATGCAAATGCAGTAACTACGTGCCTATGTCATACCCGACAATGGCGTTGCTGGGATATGTGGATTTTCACAGAACATGCTAAACTTCCTAACTCCTCATACGCTAGTCAGCAGCCTGACTTCCTTCGGAGAGTCTGCTGATTGATGAGTTGCGGCAAAACAAAGTATCTGATGGATGAGTGCACCCTCATGCCTTCGTATCTTTCACTAGCCGTCAAAGCTGCAAACTCTGAAGAACTCCCAGCCAGCCATTAGGCCAAGGCCTCCGAGAGCTGGGACTGAAAAGAAGGGCTGAGACATGATTAATAGATTGTATTGATAAATAAGTATATACACATGCATGTGCATATATATATATATATACATATGTATTTGTGTAATCTGAACCTATCTATCGATCGATCGATCTATCTGTCTGCCTATCTATCTATCTATCTATCTATCTGTCTATCCATCTGATATGTGTACGTCTCTGCCTCGAAATTACGCTTAACAAAACGAATGTGCTCATCCAAGTTCAACTCTTGTCGACATGCAAAGGTCTAAGCAAGATCAGGACATATATCAAAAGAGCCGGCCCCCCAAACAGCCGGTTTCCTTGTGAACTCCCTTTAAGCCAGTCTGAAAAGGAGCAATGCAAGGCCACTCCAACTTGTTGGCTTGCAAAGCAGGCCTTACTCCACTTTGATCAGACTGTTGTCCATAGGATATGCTAGAGCCCGGCAGCCATGTTCAGAAAATGCCCTCATCCTTTGCACCTAAACAGGTGCTTCTTTGCTGCATGTCCGCCAAACAATTGCAACGAATTCCAATCGAACTTGGCACTCTTGGTCCAAAAGAACGGAGAAGGTGAGGAACTGCCACATGGGGTGAAACAGGGCCATCCCCATCAAGGGATACTCGCCTTTCATGGGCCAAAAAGGTGATGTTTCAAACCGAAATATAGGGACCCCTCAACCACCCGGGTTCCGGTTCCGGCTCCCGTCGGGGGTTTCGGCCTTCGGCCCTCCTCCCCACTCCAGCTTCGCAGCCCCTGAGCGATTCGGGAAACCCAGGCCCTCCACAAGGAGATGGAAATCCCTTGACATCTTCTTTGACTCGCAAGAAACGGGGAAAAATGGTTTAATTAGGTAGGGAGGATTGTGTGCCTGTCTATATGGCCACTGGTCAAAACCCCAATCGTGCCCGCCAGTGAATATCCCATTCAATCCAACCACTAAAATAGGTTCTAAAAATGGGTGGTGCACCTATTCCAAAATGGTGCCATCGGCTTTGAACCGTGGCCATATCTTCTTTGACTCGCAAGAAACTAAAAACGGGTTCTTAGAGTGAGGAGTGTGTGCCTGTCTATGATGTATGACGTGTGATACGTAGTGAGTTGTGTGTTTCGGACAATTCGGAGATTCCGAACCTCCCCCACCCCAGGATCTTCAAGAGTGGAAACCCCTGCATTTTTGCTGGAAAGCTCGACGTTTTCGGGTAGCAACTTGGTACTTGCGAAAGGGAAACCACTGGAAACCAAACCTAGTTTCTCCACTTGGCTGGTCAGATGGGAATTCGGCGGGAAGCCCCGTTTCAGCTTGGCTTCAGCAACGCAACGCCGGCGGTGGCGATGGCGCTCTCACGGTGAAACGATGAGAGAGAAGAAAGGACCAGAAGGACCAAAGAAATGGCGAGGATTCGGAAGATAGCAATGCTGCTGATGCTGAAACCAATGATTGTGAGGATATGATGCTCAGGTCCGCAGGAATCTGCGTTTCATTTAACTTGTGACGCGCATCTATACTGCACGCAGTTCTCTTGCCCCCGTCCTGACTCAGTCACGACTTCAGGGATACAACTAAGAGACCCTTTTCCGCTCAGACAATGAGGCCAAGCAAGATCTCCCCAAAACGAATCAACGCTCTTGCCAGTTTGACTCCTTGAACAACCGGCCGGAAACCCAAGAAAATCGATCGATTCTTCCCCCCCGTGCCCAGCCCGTTCCTGCGGCAGTCTGGCGAACTCTTCCTGGCAGACCTGCATCCAGCTGTTCGACTCCGACCTCGTGCCACCGGACGCCGACCGAATTCTTTTGGTTTCAGACGCCGATCGAAATTGATGTCGCAAAGACGTCCATGGTGAAAGTAGATGGCACCACCACCCATGAAAAGCAAGGAGGGCACACCAAGCACTTTCACCCAGACCGTACCGGAAAGCGCCAGCTAGCGCATGGATGCCAGTGCGTATCTCCTATTTGCCCTCGGCCCTTTGTATGGGCACACTTCATCCCTATCCATCGGTCCGAGCGCCGCGACCCCGCACATTCCCCCCCAAAGCGGAGCTTCCGAACTCGCTGAAGTGGCTCGCTGCAGCAAAATCCAAACGGAAAAGGAAGGGCCCTTAGAGGAGCTGCCATTGCAGACTCAGGGGGTTCCAAATGACCCTCGCTTCCTTTTAGACGCAGTCCAAAAGCGCACGTGCTCTCTGGACTTTGTCCATGCGTGGCTCAGTTATGTAGCAGTTACTGCTCAGATTGCTAGATAACCACATTTCCCTCTAGGAACAAGTAAAGCCACCGCTGACCCAAACGCCAAGCCCGCAGCTGTCTCGTGTTCATCTGATTCAACGCCACCTGGCATTGAGCAATCCGTGTCGTGTCCATCCTCGAAATTACACTTCAAACGGTCCTAAAACTATTTCTGAGGTTCATTGTGTCCAACCTCAAAATTACACTTCAATTGGTGGTTTGAACACCAGCCCCTTAAGCATTTTGAGGCTCTCCAACCGTTCTCCTTTGAGGGACTAGTGGACAGCGCCAGAGGGGCCGGGCCCCTCTGAACTAGTGACTGGTTGCGGCCCGAGAGTTCACGCCAACCTGTGGGTGAGTGAAGAAAAATCAAAATTCAAAGTGGCCCAAACGTGCCAAAATGCGCCAAAATGTGCCAAAATGTGCCAAAATGAATTGAACGTGCCAAAATGCGCCAAAATGAAGTCAAAGTGAGAAAAATGTGCGGAACCATAACCTCAAAAACGGATTCCGCTCTTTGCAGAACCCCCCATAACAATCGAATCTCCTCAGGCCGAGCAAACGCTTCAATCTGGCCGTCGGGCCGTCAGCGTGCCGTGGTCCGCAGCAGTGAGCGGGTTCTTCAGCTGAAAGGTTATGGCAGGGAGCAGCACAAATGGGTCCTCCTGCAAGCACAACGGAAATCACGAACAGAAATCACGTGGGTGGCGTCGTTCTATGTGTGGTGGAGGCTTTTGGTTTGGGTTCTTGCTTTGCTTGCATGTTTCGTTTTGCTTTGATTGATTGTTTGTCTCTGTCTGTCTGTGTGTCCGTCCGTCCGCCTGACTCATGGACTGACTGACTGACTGACTGACTGACTGACTGACTGACTGACTGACTGACTGACTGACTGTGTCTGCCTTCCTCTGTCTGACTCAGTTGGTTTGTGTGTGTTCGTGTGTTTGCGCCGTTGTGTGTTTGTGTGTTTGTGCGTTTGTGCTTGAGTTTGTGTGTTTGCGCCGTTGCGTGTTTGTGTGTGTGTGTGTGTGTGCGTTTGTGTTTGCATTTGTGTTTGCGTTTGTGTGTGTGTTTCTGCGTTTGTGTTTGCATTTGTGTGTGTGTGTGTTTGTGTGGGTTGGTGTGTGCATGTGTGTGTGTGTGCGGAGTGGCAGAATACCCCTGCAGGGGGCTGGAGCCGGCCCGGGGGGTCTCCAGCCAACGAAGACGCCCCCCGGTGTCCGGGTCCAAACGTACCTGCGGGGCTGCGCCTGGGCCATTGTCATGGCAGCTGGCGGGCCCACCCCAAACAAAGGTCCCCTTTTTGCCCTTTTCTCCAAAACCAGCTGAACCCCAGCTGTACTCGAGACTCACCCGTTGTACTCGAACGATGAGAGACTCATCAGTTGTACTCGAGACTCATCAGTTGTACTCGAGACTCATCAGTTGTACTCGAAAGATTAGCACCCTCCATCTGAAGTTTAAGTGTGTACACCCCATTCGTGGGGAATCCTCGGGTGTACCCATTGTGTGACCCCGGGCCGGCTCTGTCGGAAAATTTGACCTCAACGTGCTTATCATAGATCAGCGGAATTTCACATTTAACCAGGAACGAGGTTTCACTAAAGGGAAGACAGCCACCTCTTCATAGCTACGTTTCACCCTTCGCTCTTTTTTCTCGCCTTCGTCTTCCGCGTGCCCGTCTTCTGGTTCTTCGCCCGCCTAGGGATGGCTTCTCCTTCCTCCCGTTCTTTTCCTGCTGCCTTTCGTGACCCGCG